GACACTTTTTTGGGTCATTGAACTTGTGATCCATCTTTTGCGCTTAAAAATGGACTATTTCAAAAAAAGGACAACATCATGCCCTGCGTCTTGAGATGCTCTTTCGAACAAAAAAAAAATATTAATATATTGAACGAACCAGGACCGAGAGATTTGGGATGTCAAATGAGTCATTTTTTACCCTTGTTTGGCTCATATCTCCCTGAAACCGGAAGATTTCTGACTGAAAATTTTATGGTAGTCTTCCCTTTCTAGCGCCAGCATATCCTGAAAGTTTCATCTCATTTGGCTGTTCCTGGGCTGAAATCGATTTTTGAGGGGAGGGGGCCTTAGATCTTACTGTAATACAATTTCTAAACTTTAAAAATGAATTTCAATTAAATTTAACCTTTTTAATCGATCAATAAAGCCTTATCGATTAAAATAGGTTTCTAGAAACTGATTAAGAAAGATTAAACTCAAATGAAATCTATTTTTAAAGTTAACAAGTTAGATTTCAATAGGAATCAAATACCATCATTTTAATTGATACTTCTTCATAAAATAATCAATTCTAATATAATTTATCGAAATTTTTTTCTTACATAAGTCAGTATTAATTGATATCCTATTTCAACGTCTGGCACGTCTAGAAAAGTGTAATTCTAATGTGATAGTTACGATTTGCTGAGCTGAGAATTTCGAAAAAACGATCAAAAGTTTGAATTTCTAATTTAAAATGCGAGAAAAATTCGTTTCACGATCATTATCATGTAAATCGATTAAAGATCAAATAGTCTAATTTTAATTGATTTTTAGCTAGAAGAAACTTGATTAGAATTATATTTTTTCTTACGTGAAAAATCTTCCTTGCAAAAAAACAAATATAGGTTAGGAACGAGCGGCACAACAGAGTTTTAAACCCGTCCGACCCGGAATAAAAATCTCCTTTGGTCGGCAGGGGTGATTCGATTCGAAGTCTGCTACTTTACTATCAAAGCTTGCCTATATAAATACAAACTCAATGACCTCATCAATTATTTCGAAAAAAGAGAAAGATACTTGATTAACTTCAATTAATGGTAAATCTATAAAAAAAATTCTTTTGGAACAGACTTTAGTATATATATTTGTATATACAAACATCTTAGTCTCATTATCGGAAAGTTCGATCATCGAACGCTAGACAAGTAACAGGTTTTTGATGACCAATATATTCTTTCACAACATTGCCAGTCTCAGTTGACCATAAACGAGCTTTTCCATCCGAACACACTAGAATAAATTATTAGAAAATCTAAATAAATAGACAACATACAAACCTGTTATAAGAAATACGGAATCCGATGTAAATGCACAATCCCATACCCAATTTTGTAATCGATCATGTTTCAATTCATATTGACAAGCAAAATCTGATGTACGCCATATTTTTGCTGTTCCATCTGCTGATGTTGTTGCTAGCAAACTGATAGAAAAGAAAAATTAATATTATTTATTATGAAAACATTCTCAACATACGTCATATCAGGTGAAAATAAACATTTTAATCCATAACGTTTATGTGCAATGAAATTTGTACGACGTATAAGATGCGTTTGTGAAGCAAATCCACTCATTGACCATATTTGACAATCGCCCTATTTATTTAAGAATCGATATAAGTACAATTGAAGTTTATTCGTAATCTTCTCTCTATCATTTTGTCAAATAACAAATAGTCTGCAAACTATTAAATGATAATTCACAACTAGAAGTATACGCTGTTCGACTGACCTCAGTCAATACATCGTCTTACACCTCTACTTAACATATAATGATTTACTTATTTTCACTCTTTGCATTATAAGAAATTCGTCGGCATACAATCACTATCATATAGGCTTACTCAAATATACAATTTACCAGAAAAAATAGGCTGAAACATTATGTTCAGTGCCTGAGGTGAAATTATGAAAAAAAAAATTGACTGATAGAGATCTCGATTATATCGAAATAATCATTGATACTTGCATTACTCGTAACAGCAGCCATCATGGAAGCATCGCGGTTGATTGAAATCGATCGAATTGCACTTGGATTATTGGCATCGATAATCTATAGAAGAGTATATTTTGTCTTAAATTAAATATGATTAATATGAAAAACATACATATGTTTCCTTTTTTTCCTTTTTATCCTGTTTATCCTGTTTGTCATGTTTTTCCTGTTTTTCATGTTTATCACTAGCCATATCCCAACGAGTGATTGTTCCATCTTGATCACCAATTAATAGTTCTGTCTGT